TAATAAAGGTGGCCTCCAAAATATAGAGATGAAAGGCCGACAGACCATTTGCAATAATTTCAAACCTGCTATCCGTGTAGTTGTCAGCACGTCGGGTTCATATGTAAGTGCTGGCCAATCCGGACACAGCATTAACGCCAGACCTACTATAAGTTAACTAAAACTTTAGAAAAGTGAACAAGTGGTCTCATGCTGAGAGAGCCTTGATGTGTCACATAAACGAGTTATTTTTGACTTTGAAAATAACAAAGCTAATAATAACTACTATAAGCCATTCTGACAAGCCCTGGTATTGGACGAAAGACTTCGACGGCACTGTATATGGCATATGTAGAGTAAGTTACATATTATAACGTATTTTCCTTTGCTTTCACTCATAAATTCTTATAATTTGAGAAGCTTTTAGTTACTATTCAACTTCAGACAAGAAAGGGGCGTGTGTAGCTCTAATTATTTTGAACTTTCTAGTCACAACCAATTTTAAACAAAACCACAAAATTTCACAAAACTTCTATTCCCAAACACATTAAAAATAAATTCACTAAATTCAGAATATTATGAAATTGATATTATACTGCAATATTAATAGTAGTTACACATCAAAACGTCATAGGCGTCAAAAATAGAAACAACATGATATTCCATGTTGCACATTAACAACAAAGCTACAAATATATGCTATACTTTAAAACAATTTCGCGACGAATAGAAACAATATGGTATTCCATGTTACACATTAACAACAAAGCTACAAATATATGCTATACTTTAAAACAATTTCGCGACGAATAGAAACAATATGGTATTCCATGTTACACATTAACAACAAAGCTATAGATTTATATCACATGTTAAAACAATTTCGCGATTTTCCATCCCATAATAACAAATTAAAAAAAAGTTACAAAATATTAGATGCACTAAATCTTATGTAACTGATGTTAACCAGGTTGTAGGCATTGAACATATAAAATCCAATTCAATGTACTTTACTTTTGACTATTATGTGCCTCACCAATTGTGTGATTTTGTAGGGTAATCGTGCTACATACTATCAGAGCTCTTCCTAAGGAATTTTTCAACTGCACAATTATATTTTAACTTTATCATTTCTTAACACATGATGCCTTATTGCACCTCATATATACAGGCCTAGTAACAAATGATGCAAAAAATTAAGAATATTTTGGTAAATACATTTGTTTACCAACTCTGGAATAAAATTATATAATCTTACACATGTTGTTTTTAATATTTATCCACATGAAATTACTTATATAGGTGAATTTTCAAGTGCTCAAATATTTTTACAAGTGCTCAATTTGTGGTCAATTGTACACTAGGAAAACCCCTGATTGCTATAACACAGCTAACTACAAATATTTCATACTACATTTTTCGAATTACTAATAACATGAACTTACAAAATACTATGATCCCCATGGTAAGCAAGAAAAAAGTGTCAGCTCCGGAAAAAACTCCATCTATTGCCTTTGTGGATTCAGTTGTGTTATTCAACAGTACATCTGAAGTCAAGGAAGTATTGACGTCGGTCAAGCTTGTTGTTGTGTTTGAAAATGAGATCGTTGATGCGAAAGTATTTGTGCTAAGGTCATCACCAATCGATCCATTCAGCTTTGTTACTGGCAGAATTATAGATGATGTTGTTTCTATGGAATAGTTACTACTAAAACTGTCTGTGTTATTTATTCCAGGAGACACGGAACTGCTCTGCAAGCTTGTTATGTTTGTTGAGTTCAACAGAACTTCAGTAGAGGTGACGTTTTCGTTGCTCATTCTGGAATTTGGAGAAATTTGAAGTAGATTCTACACTGGCACGAGGATGGTTGGTGGATCACGTGATTTCACTATAAAGAAAGTAATATCAAACAAAATACGGGAATGAGGCCTACAAAACAATATTTCGAGTAACTTTCCAAATACTTTTGATCGTCGAAATCTACCTTGCAGCGTACCGTTGAAGCACACACATAAGCATCTCAAAAACACAACAATATGCACTTCACTTGCATTGGAGATTCCCGTATATTAAGCTATTAAATAGGCTTAAATCCTTTTTTTTTTAGGTCAGATGTTATTATTGAAGAAATGAGACAAATGTAACAAGAAACCATAGAATTATTTAAAATAAAGTGATAATTAATATCTTTCATGAAAACCCGAATAATAAGAATGAACGCTGGGAGTAGGGTTAGACGTAATATCAGCTACAGGGTGCCAGCTAACGCCAGTATAACACGAACCACCTGTGTTATGAACACTTGTGGACCCTCTTACTATGGTTGGTCTAGTGGAGTGAATCATCCTCGTTACCTCTAGACACAGGTGTTTGGAAAGTAGAGGTACTGTTGTATCTGTTTGATTCCATTATATCTGTGATGTTAAAAAATACCTTCCATTTTGTATTAAAAATTGTAAAAGAAGTATTTTAGTGGTGAAGTTAAGGTAATGGCATTTTTGTTAAGTTGTTTAGTAAAGTCTACTAAATATCAGAAGTTATTAAAATTGCTTACTACGAACATTTATTTACAAGTAGCGTAGGCACGCATAAAAAAGATATACAGTCGCGAAAATCATTGTTTTGAAAAGCTTTTGTTTGTCACTTGATGATTTGATGAGACAGTATACTTCTTCAAAGTATTTTATTAGTCACCTAATGATTTGATGAGACAGTATACTTCTTCAAAGTATTTTATTAGTCACCTGATGATTTAATGAGACAGTATACTTCTTCAAACTATTTTACAAGTCACCTGATGACTTAATGAGACAGTATACTTCTTCAAACTATTTTACAAGTCACCTGATGACTTGATGAGACAGTATACTTCTTCAAGCTGTTTTATTAGTCACCTAATGACTTGGTGAGACAGTATACTTCTTCAAGCTATTTTATTAGTCACCTGATGATCTGATGAGACAGTATATTTCTTCAAACTTTATTGTTAATCACCTGATGACTTGATGAGACAGTATACTTCTTCAAAGTATTTTATTAGTCACTTGTGTGCTAGATGATATGATGAAGCAGTATACTTCTCAAAGTATTTTATTAGGCACCTAATGATTTGATGAGACAGTATACTTCTTCAAAGTATTTTATTAGTCACCTGATGATTTAATGAGACAGTATACTTCTTCAAACTATTTTACAAGTCACCTGATGACTTAATGAGACAGTATACTTCTTCAAACTATTTTACAAGTCACCTGATGACTTGATGAGACAGTATACTTCTTCAAACTATTTTATTAGTCACTTAATGACTTGGTGAGACAGTATACTTCTTCAAGCTATTTTATTAGTCACCTGATGATCTGATGAGACAGTATATTTCTTCAAACTATATTGTTAGTCACCTGATGACTTGGCGAGACAGTATACTTCTTCAAACTATTTTATTAGTCATCTAATGACTTGGTGAGACAGTATACTTCTTCAAGCTATTTTATTAGTCCCCTGATGATCTGATGAGACAGTATACTTCTTCAAAGTATTTTATTAGTCACTTGTGTGCTAGATGATATGATGAAGCAGTATACTTCTCAAAGTATTTTGTTAGTCACCCAATGATTTGCTGAGACTATAGTAAAGTATTTTGGAGTGGGTATGGTCTAATGGCTAGCTTGATCGAAATGGGAATCCGAAGGTTCTCAGTTCATGGCCCGTTGTCGTAAAAATACGCTCCACATTTTGGGTAGTAGATGAGCTACAAGAGTGACGACGAGTGCTATTAACTAGGTGCTTTCCACTAGCCTATGAGTTCAAAATTAGGGTTTATAGTAAGCAGCTTGCTGCTCAACCAGGCTGCCGTATAAATAAACTTTGAAAGTAAACACATATAATACGCTCGTTTTTTATGACTGACATTTTTTCCAGTTTAATCAACATACTAATCATCGCCTGCAACAAGGTCTCATGTTATATTAACATAATTATTTTGTCTCTTCCCATTTGTTTCGTCTTCTGAATTTTTACATGCACTTTATATTATAAGCAGTTCGACGAAAATTGATTATCAACAGACAGCATTATAATTCAGTTTTAAACAACGTAAAATTTTAGTCTTCAACAGGTGTAGGGCATATAATTTTTACACTAGTCTTACATGTTGCTGTATACTCAAAAAAATGGCCTACCGCCATTGGAGTTCCACACATATGAAGGAGGAGTTTAATGGAGATGTAAGGAAAAGGCAAGGAGATGGAGAGTGACATCCTAAATATTTGCTCTCCTCTCCACAAATTCTCACTAAATTCTACAGTTCACAGAATACTATGTCTTCAGGTACCGGACAACTGCAGGCAAGAAAACCTCACCCAACGAAACACCACCCAATCTCTGGTTATTCCTGTTATCTTTTCAGCAAATCAGAGTAAGAATTGAAAAGCTACTCCTTTGTGAATGATTTTGGCAATTTTGAGTTAACCGAAAGAAAGATATTTATGAAAACATTCTACAACAAAAATAATCCTACATTTAGAGCTTTCTAATTTATCTATAATGAGTCTTCTCTTATCTTTAAAAAAGACGAAATAAAACAAAAAGTTGCCTTCCTATCTGCGACTCTTTCTTCACCCACTTTCAGAATCGTGGGATTGTCACTGTAAAAAAATTAGTTAAATATAGAGCGAAAAAAATGTCCCAAATAGATTGTCACTCTAGACACAATCTACATGAAAGTCAGGTTACACTACGCTATAAAAACAAAATTTTTCTTACTCCGCAATTTGTCCTGGAAGAAACTGAATCATACCGTTTTGAAGTAAAAAATCTTGTAGAGTGTACTGTACATGCAATTATCAGTTTTATATCATATTAAATGTTCTCCTTTGAAGTTAATTCTTCCTATCAAGGTAATCTCTATTGAATAACTTGTTTGTGTTCTTAATGTGTCACTGTTGCATTTCATGGATGAAAACATGTTGATATATAAGCCTATTTTATAAAATTGAATAATAAATATGATGTGGAACAATTCTTAATGTGTTTCTTTGTATGTTTCAAGTACCTGGATATGATACAGGATATAATATTCAAATGTTGTGCTATCACAGAGATTCACATTACGACTCGCAAGCTTTTTAAAACACTTACTTTTATTGATGTGTTCATTTATTCCAATTAATACGGCATGTACTAAAAGCCGGAATGAAACGGAAACTCTGTATTTAAAGACGGTGCGCTGGTCTGTGGACTTACAACGCTAGAAACCGGGTTTCGATACCCGTGGTAGGCAGAGCACAGATAGCCCTTTGCGTAGCTTTGTGCTAAACTACAAACAAAATTAACATCGAAATTGGCACATTATCCCAAATTCTCAACATTAATATAAACCACAAGTACATTGTATTTTCCAAACTTTCCAGGTTATTCATCATAGCTAATCTCATAGTCATCAATTCTTAACGACGAGATAAACTATTTTGTCTCCTTACTTTCATTGTTTTCGTCTTATTTCTTACCATTCTCCGAATGTGGTTGCTTAATTTTCTTAAAACTTTTATGAAGGGCTCCAGGTAATGTTTTCCACGAGTGCATAATACCACACGCGCATGTTTGTTTACATATGTACAGTCTCGGCCAAAATGTTTGCATAGTGTTCTATATTAATGTTATTGTCTACACGCATTTCTCAGTTTGACAGCGCTAAGTGTATTTGTATTACGTTTTAATAATAATGATCTTATTTTTTACAAATATACAAACATTTTGGCCAAAACTGTATATTGTCATATACCAATGCCACTATTGTATTTTGACAAGTACTCTAGCAGTTTATAAAGCTTGCCTCTGTCTATGGCACAAACAGAATTAAGACGAATCAAAAATTTTGTACTAAAAGTATATCCATTAAGGTTAAAATTCTTATTGTTACAACCATACTCAAATACCCATTAAAAAAAAAGTGATACATCAGAAAAGTCATTCAATGCTTCAGAAAGCAAATGGTCACAACGTTCTTTCAATCACATGATCATCTTAACTGTTGATAACTGAGTGATAGGTTTACAATGTAGTACATACATTCATCTTAACATCATTAAATAGTTTGGAAATCAAAGAATGTGACTTCCTTTCAGTCCATGATCATATAAATCAGTAACTGTCTTAATTTTCAAAAATAGTGTAGTAGCTGTTAAATGTAGCTCATACATTTCACCGAAACTTACTATCTAAATAGCTCATAAAGCAAGGAACACTATTTCCTTTCAATCATTAGCTCATACATTTCACCGAAACTTACTATCTAACAGCTCATAAAGCAAGGAACACTATTTCCTTTCAATCATTAGCTCATACATTTCACCGAAACTTACTATCTAATAGCTCATAAAGCAAGGAACACTATTTTCTTTCAATCATTAGCTCATACATTTCACCGAAACTTACTATCTAATAGCTCATAAAGCAAAGAACACTATTTCCTTTCAATCATTAGCTCATACATTTCACCGAAACTTACTATCTAATAGCTCATAAAGCAAGGAACACTATTTCTTTTCAATCATTAATTGCACAAACTAATGACTGTCTTAGCTTAGAGAGCAAGGGGTCAATAATCTTTCAATAATAGTTTCAAAATTGAGTCCATATGTTCTGCCGGCCCATACTACCTGATAGTTCAAAGATCAAGGAAAGGTAGTTCCGTTCTATAATCAGGTTTTCAACCTAATGATCATTCTAACTTTCGGTCATCAATTGTATTTTGAAGTTAGTTCTTTTGTGTGTGTGGATTTTTTCAGATGCTCTGAATCATGTATCCAGTTTTTAACTAACACATCTATAACAGCCTGTGCTAATGGATAAGTTTTGACACACTCTGTGAAACAGACAACGAGTATCTAGCACTGACCTCTTGTAGTTTCCAAAAGTGGACCAGAAATATCCATGGTTTTCGAGGAAAAAACAGAATACAAAGTATCTACGAAGGATAAACAGGAAACAGTCATAAAAATGGCTAAACTGCTAAAAGGAGACGATGATTGGCTCAGGACACGACATG